CATGGCTGCTTCTTCTTCTTGTGCAGTAATAGGTATTGGCCGAGGTAAAAGACTTTGCTTGTTATTTTTAAAAGCCTTATTAATAAACATTATTCACCTTTCACATGCCAAGCTACTAAAATTTTTTAGTTGTTTACTAAGTGAATACTCCTCTTCAAGACTTTTAAATACACGATTATTATCTTGTGGATTCAAAAATTCTATTTTTCGCAATTGAACTCAAAATTTTTGCGACTCTGAGATATAATCAGGGCGTGACCGACCTTCTGGTGATTCATTATTGGTATGTCTGATCATATTAAATAATATATGACGTAACTAATTATTATTTCAAAAAATAAGTATAAATAAATATAATTTTTTTTTTTAAAAAAAAAAAAATAGATAAATATTACTGTATTAGGTGTATTTTGCAGATCTTTATAAACTTCGTACAATTTCGTGCTGCTATTCTCCAATGTTTTTGTGAAGGTACAGATGGAATTAGGGCTTTTAAAGACTTATTTACTTCTTCAAAGATGGCATCAAGGCCTTGATGCTGGTTAGAATAACCCGATCATGAAATGGCTAAATATAACTCTATACGTTGTCTAATCTCGGGATTTAGCCACATCAATTGCACCTCATAAGATATCTCAATTAAATGGTAGATAGGGTGTCTACGACCAGACCATATTGGTGCAAACGTACGTCAAGCAGCATTTACCAATAATGGCCAGTTGTTTCTAACTCCCATACAGAAGTTAATGATTGCTTGAAGGTATGTAAATATTTATAATACTAGCAATTGTTAGTTATGTTTTTAGATACTTATGAATCCTTTTAAAAATTTACCTGTTCAAATTTTAGTTTATATATGTGGTCATTTTGTACTTTCGCCCAATTTAGATAGCCATCAACAGAAGAATCATCAGTTGCAACTACGTATGGCTATAATAATTTACACGACATTGCATGTTGGTAAATATTGCAAATAGAGTCCCACGATTTGTGATGGTTAGCGCATTTTTTAAAAAATCCAAGTTGGTTTTCAGTTCTATATCCTTGGAGAGTAGCGAATTGCTTGATATCAATCGACCTTAAAAATGCGTTAGAAAAAATTAATTAAGTATCAAACGAAAAAGATGTCTAAGATATTCACTTGAAGGAATAATACCTATTTAGCACTACAAATGCTTTAAGCATATTCATTTCTTCATGCAGGGCTTCAGGAATCAGTATAAGCCATAGGAAATCGGTTTTTAATCTTTTGTGCTAGATTATAGGAAACACCGTCACAAATAACAGGTAACCATTTTCTCACCCCTTCATCGATTTCAGTGATATTTTGTATATGTTTTAAAACTTTTTTGACATTATTTAACAAATTAGGATTAACTTCCAACAGATCTGGCACATGCATTTTTGGAATAACAATATCTTGATCGGGTTTAGATTGTTGTGTGATTCTAATATGCTCTAAATAAGAAGCTTTTTCTTGAGTATATTCATAGATCTTTATTATGGGAGTTCCTGATTGAGAAGGTATATTTTTATCAATCTGAGTTAATTCTTTAGTGGATTCGGCTTGTAAGACAGCTAATGTATCTAATTTTTCATTACATTTAGAACAAGTATGTTTTTTATTATCTATATTGGTCGTATTATATTTTTTACACCATTTTGAATAGCTTTCAACGCCTTTTTGATTTTTTATAATTTGATCGATTGTATTTTTTTCTTGGCTTTTTTCAGTGACAAGTTCTTCTAAAATTGAAGCTAAGTATATATTTAATTTGTGGTCACATTCTGCCTTCATCTCTGGTGTAAGATAATATAACTTTCATATTGTTGATTATTTAGTGAATCATAAAGCCAAGAGGTAGTTGTAAATTGTGCTTAGTCAATTTTATTCATATTTAGTGCAATAAAACTTGTAACCGTATGATAAATGACCGTATTATATCCACGATCAAGATAATTATGCTGACCTCGTTGTTCATTATTGAAAACTATAAATAGAAGTCCTTTAGGTAAAGGTTCTTGTTCAATGACTAACGATTCTAGCCAATTAACGAATTTTGTATAACTTCTAGAACTAATTATATGATTGTCGATATCAATAATTGTTCTAGATCGTGCTGGTGAATATTTAATTCCAACATAGCAAGATTTATTTCAGACACATAGTTATTATGCCTTGACCCATATATTGTATCAATTGCAACTATTTTTTTAAATAGCTTTTCACTTAAAGTATAATTACAGTTATTATTATTATTACAAGTAAGCGTATTAATGAAGTTAACAACGACTGGGTTATGATTAGCTAACCAATTTCAGGTACAAAATTCAATAAATTGTTAAGAGAAAATCATTGTTTATTTAAAATTAATGATTCAATATCATTATAAACATTTTGCCATTCATAATTTGCAATCTGAATTATCAAGTCAATTCTTTTTTTTTGATTATTATATCGATTTTCCCAATTATATTTTAATGCATTATTTTGTTCGGATAGCTCTTTATTTATTTTATTTATTTCTTGAATTCATCCCCAACTCTCGATTATATAATTGTATGCATATTCTAATTGCTTTTGAAAGTTTTCTATCTCATTTATTTTTATACTCAATTGCGCTTGAAGTAGGGTATGCAACATATTATCAGATACTTGTATGCCAATTTCACGGCTCATTTTATTACCATCTCTTCAGTTTGAATACCAATTTCGCAAGTATTTTTTTCAACTTCTATTTCATAAGCATGCTCTATACGAGCCTGCTTTTCAACTAATTCATTTTCAAAATCAAGATGATGAACTTGTTTATTTTTAGATAGTTGCGAATAATTCG